CCCCCACTGCCCTCCCCATCCCCCACTGCCCTCCCCATCCCCCTGCTCTCTTTGTTGATCCTTTTCCTCCCCGCAAATATGACATACATTTCCTCCTCTTCTGCTTTTATGGCATATATATCCCACCACTCTCTGTTGTTTCCCTTTCCTCTTCCTTTAGATACCTAAATTTTCTAAATTTTTCTATAGACTTTTTTTTTAATGAGTGAAAAGGAGAAGTTGTTCTTTGGGGAAAGTGGTTATCAAATATCAGCTCACCATCAGAGCTGAGTAAACTCGCCCAGCAGAGACAATGCCCTTATCCCAGGGTGCCTCTGACTCCTCTGCTACCCCTGCTCACATCTGCAGGCCCTACTCTGTCCACTGATACCCAGAAGAGTCCTTTGCACAGCCTCTTGAACTTGTGCAGTAGTCACCCTGTAGGGACCCACCAAAGCATGATGCAATGGGCAAGAACCTTACTTAAGACCTTAGGTCTTACTTGAGCCCTACGATGCCTGGCACACATTAGGTAATCAGTACAAAAATGCAGAATGCGAGATCTCCTGAGGCTCTCTGTGGATGGGCACATCTGTCTACAGGCTTTGCGCTCTAGCTGACCATTCTCCACATGGGAAATTTATTTAAATGCTGTCTCTTTGCATCTTAAACTTCTCTAATGCTTATCACTTCTGGAAACTCCTAGGCAAACTGTCTTCCCTGTCCCAGGGCTTCAAGCAAAATGGAAGTTCTCAGGACTGTTTATTTGTTTATTTGTTTGCTTGCTTGTTTATGACAGGGTCTTATTTTGTTTGGGCTGGCCTCTAACTTACTATATAGCCAAGGCTGACCTAGAACTTATGAACTTCTTACATCCACCTCTCCTCTATAGAATTCCAGATGTGGACCAAAGTGCCTGGTTTAGGTGTTGCTAGGGATGAACCCGGAGCCTTCTGAGTGCTGAGCAAGCACTCCACCAAAAGAGCTATATTCTCTGACCCTCAACTCTTTTCTGAGATAGAATCTCACTAAATTTCCCAGACTGGCTATGACTTCCTGATCCCCTGCCTCAGCTCCAGACTGCAGGAATGCACCAACACAGACTTTCAAAAGGTATTCTCTAATATTTGTTAACAAAGGCAAGCTGACTATGTTCATCTCCTCTGACAAATATGAAATTTGCTCTCCATGGAGAGACAGCATAACTTACTAACCTAGTGTTATAACAGGAAAGGGTACAGTGACCATCTCTTGGACCTCTAAGACTCATGAGTTCAAAGGCTATGACATCCAGAGGGATCAGAGCCAGGCTGCATTCTGGAAGAATTCTCTACCTGACTTTGGTTATTTCTTCTTGCAGAAAATAAATACAGGAACCCCTAATGGGGGGATCCTAGACCACAGACCGCACTGGACTACATACTTGGGCAGCTCCTGGGCCCGATGTGTGTTTATGTGGCTTGTGGTGGGTCGGGAGGAGAAGGGTGCTCAGCAAATGTTTGTGGAATGAATGGACAGCACATTCTAGCCAAAGTGGACAGTCTTCCCCACCCATGAGTGTGGGTCACAGCTGGGCCAGGGCCACAGCACACACAGGGAGGCATCCCGTGGGAGCAGAGTGAGCTGACCTGGGCTGAGAAGTTAGCGTTGCTGGGAAGTGTCTGCCCTCTTGAAATGGCAGCCACTTGTGTTACAGCAATCAGAAGAATTGTGCTGTTTTGAAGGATGTTTAAATGTTGATACCTCAAGATAAGGAAACTAATAATAGCTGGTGATCCCTGAGCACTTAGCTATATGTATACCAGGTGCTGGTCCACTAGGGGTGAGGGAGAAAAGAGAGGAGGGGAGCAGGAGAGTCCTCTGTACTCCCTAGTGTGAAGGAAATAATTCTTCATCCAAAACCTCCATTTTAGCATCCCACAAATGCTACAAGACAAACAAATGGAAAAGACAAAACAATAGCCACAGGCAGGAAGCTGCCAGTATGAGGGCTGGAAAAACAGACAGCATGAGGGCTGGAAAAACAGACATTTGTAATTTGTATTTATTTGCTTACTTATTCATATATCTATTTAGAGATAGGGCATCACTCTGTGGCCCAGGCAACCTCAAATTTATGGCAGTCCTCCTGCCTCAGCCCCCTGAGTGCTGTGATTACAAAGGTGAGTTGCCACACCTGGCTCTGCTCCTTTTCACTGTGAAACTCACCACTGTCTAGACCAGATCCTTCTCAGCCATTTTCTTTCCAAAGTAGCTATACCCTGTCACGCTCCTTCTCCTTGGTCCATTGCCTCCTGTTCTTCTAAATTATTTCTTCAACTAGTCAGTTTATAAAGTGGAATGTTACCCACAGAGTCAGGCCACAGTATTTGAAAAACTTTGGAGTTTCTCCATGTTAGGATCCTTTGGCGTGAATACAGAAAACATGGAATGCACGGGTCCTTTTGCTTATGGGGTGGGGGTGGGGGTGATGTTCTAGAATCCCCTAGAAGAAAATGGAAACCAGAGACACATTGGCCCCCTATATGCACTGTTCATTTTTCTATGCCTACATCTTTATGCTAAATTTTAAATTATAAATTAGACACATTAAGAGACTAGGTAGAAATTAATAAGAAATTATAACCATAGACTGGAATTAAAATTATTTTAAACAGGAATCCCATCCCCCTGGAATATCCAGCTATTTTCTGACCTCGTTTGCCCACAGGTAACTGTAGCCACAAAAGCTAAAACAGTGGAAAACAAAGCCGGAAGAGGAGGGGACTCTTGAGTTCTATGAGAGAAGATAGCTAGTCAGGTGTGATGGATATCCCATGCCTTTAATAGAAGCCATTGGGAGGCAGAGGCAGGGGCAGGGGCAGGAGGAAGGGGCAGGGAGCAGGGGGCAGGGAGCAGGGGGCAGGGGGCCGGGAGCAGGGCGCAGGGGGCAGGGGGCAGAGAGCAGAGGCAGGCAAATCTCAGTGAGATCAAGGACAGCTTGCTCTACATAGAGAGTTCCAGGACAGCTAGAGCTACCTGGAACAGCAAGAGTGACCCTGTCTCAAAAGAAACACACACAAGGGGGGAGGGGAGAGAGAGAGAGAGAGAGAGAGAGAGAGAGAGAGAGAGAGAGA